GGCTGGGCTGGGGCTGGGCTGGGGGCTGTTTGTTGTCTTTGACAACAGCATGCTTTCAGGTCTGGCCAGCACAGTTCTGCATGGTTTTGACCTGAGGTTGCACTTGCGCAAGACCTTTAAAAGGAGTGAAAACTGCTTGCCGGTGCACCCACGAAATGGCTCGCATCCACATGCTGCATCTGGGCGAACAATCTGCACTTTGCTAAGGAGCACAGGCAGAACCCTTTGCAGCTTTGCGGTTCTTCAAAGGACACCAGACACAGCGGCCGGTGCTTTTGGAAGGGAGTCAGGGCCAAGGGTACGTGATTTGTGAAAACTGTATCCAGACAAACCAGAAGGCTAGGTTTAAAGGAACCGAAAGGTTCACAGCCTAAGTAAGCAAAATAAGTTTAACAGGTTGTCCTCAGTCTGGGTGGACGTTGTCATGGTTGGGGCATGGACACTCTGCGGGAACGGATGCGGTCTTCATGCTGGTTGGGACATGGATTCTGCGTTGGTTTCCGCGGCGTAACGGTTGGCGGATTGCAGAGCGGTGACAGTCTCTAGTGAGGCAAGTCGCAAACCTGTGAGATGGCGAGTGGCAAACTCGAACCAATTAAAGGTTTAGGGGATAGCCGAGGTTCAAGTAATTGCCGACACTTTGGCAATCCCTGAACCACATTACAAGAGAACATGAGGGGACCTTCATTCCGCAGAGAGATAGTTGAAGGGATCCCTGGATAAAGCACCCTTAGTTTACCAACCTGCTCTCAACCGGCACCCCCACATCGGACTGCGCAGTGGCAAACCCAAACCTTGACAAAATGGAGTGGCGGATAGCAGGCAATAATGCCCAAACGGATTGCGGGCCAAGGACAAAGCCTGAGAAGGATCGTGGAGTGGCAACCCTAACTTGAGAGGTGACGTAAATCGCAGTAGCAAGTCCAGTAAACGATAAAGGCAGTGCGGAATTGCAGACATTATACCGTCGGCAATGGCAAACCCCTGCTAATTATATTAGCCAGAACATAAACCTTCACAATTAAAGGAGAGTGGCAACCCCTAAGTGGAAATTCAATGCGAGGACGGCAACCTTTGGTTCAGCATCAGCAACATCAGCACTAGCAGCACAACCTGACCAAAAGGCACAGCAGCAGCTACCTAGCATACCCACGACCACCCAATTAACGTCACTACTTATAAACACCACCGCCTGTCGGTCCTTTTGTAGGATTTCGTTCTGCGGATTTGCTGAAACGTGGCTTCTCAATCTTTGCCGACTTTCAGAATTCGATTTCGTCATGATCTAGTCTTTCTCGTGGATTCGCCTGCTGCTTCCTGCAGCCACTTCGCTCTCGAAACGCTCAACCCAATCAAAATGCAATACTTGTTGGCTGCCACTCCATTGAACCCCACAGGGTAGTCATGGCTGCAACACCCTGAAATGGTAGAACGAATGCTCGCCACTTGTCACAGGATCCAAGCTCGTAACGTGGGCGAGCAAACAAGCCTGTGCCAGTTGCTAGATGCCGTTCCCGAGGGTTATGGTCTTGGGTGTGGTGTGTTCGTTCTTTTATCCTTTGGCGCCTTCTATATTTCTCCGGCTCTCAGAACAGCGGCCAATGGAAAAAGGGTCGAATCATATACCCCCCACCGCCGCATTGTAGAAGGTTTCATCAGAGGGAAGACGATTGTGCTCATCTTCATCTTGTGGAATCCTCCGGGGCTGGAGGCCTCTTGCATGGAAATCAAGTGATTGGATACCAAGACAGGTATGGCACTCCGCTCGATACAACAACACAGATCCATCGCGGATGGTCTGTTCTCTTGGAAAGCAGGGGCAGTACCCTGGCACGGCACGGACAGTGTTTGTGGCTTGGGTTTTTCTGCGGCTGCCGGCCCTGCTCAATCGAGAAAAGATGCCCTCACTACCGGACGAGGAACCCTCTTTGCTCATGTATGTTGACGATGCCATGTTCTGGCAGGATCGTTGCCATCCCGATAAGCGCGTGTCTGCTTATAACGTCCACAGACAACTAAACATCGGTCTTGCTTTCAAGGCGACAAGTTGGAGCGCCAGCGAGTACAAGGCGGCAGCCTGTCATCGGTATGAAAATCTAAGATCTACATGAGCACTCCGACCTTGAGAAGGGGACCTGACTGAAGTCCGATGCACGGAACCTCGGCACATTCTGCAGGCACGCTCTTCTCGGTGGCCACATGTACAATACTGCTGCCACGACTGCCACAACCACACTCACCATCTGACAAGCAAATGCCACCCGTGTCATGTCTTTCGAAGATGAGAACTGAAAAGGTGAATGCCCTCACCTCTACATGGTGCCAGGAAACCTATTCGTTCTGTGGCGATCGCTGAAACCTTCGGACTGCTGGAGTGCACAATGTCAGCAGCCCAGAATGCCGCAACCGCTTCGCTGCCGATGCCGATGTTGCCATAACGGAGATAGTGAGAGGCGGCATTTAAGGTTCTGACATGTCGTTGCCGGCCAAGCGGTGCTTTTCAGCCTCTTGCCGTCGCTGCTCAGAAGCTGGAGCTGCCTGCTCTGGAAGTGACAGCGTTACGAGATGAAAAGCATCCATCAACAGCTCCCTGCCTCGGGCTCAGGTTGGTCAGAAGCTGGACTCGCCCTGCCAAAGTCCTCAGCTCATCAAGTCGCCAGATGTAGGCCCTGGCGAGCATCATGCTACCAAGTCCATGCCGAAGGTAAACTTTCCTCCGAGCGTCTAGTGGAAACTCTCCCTCGCCACGCCTGCCAAAGCGGCTTCACTGTCAGAAACATTTCTGTTGCAGAACCACACCTCACAGGCTCTGTGCGAAGGTCTGTGTCTACCAAGCCTCCGACGTCAACACAACTCCAATAGATCACAATCATGCAAGATGCAGCCAGCATGAACAAACAGACAACAGGTTCACGGTCGCTTATGCGTTTGCGAAGGGTGCGCTGTGCTGACGGGCAAGGTTGGCAGCTGCAAAAATATAGTTGACCAAGAGCTGGACATGTCAGAAGCTGGAACGATCCCGCTTGGCCAACCTTTCACAGACATTCCGGCCCGCTCTGTGCCGCTTGCGCCGCTTTGCTCATGGACGTGGACCATGAGTTCAGTTTCTCAGTGCAGCACCACTGTGGAACTTGCCGGCCCGCAGAGGCCCCAGGACATGCTGAAGCCAGGCCTTTGCTGGGCAGCGTTCCCTGGCAAGTAAATGCCTCCCATACTGCAGCGACACCACACATGAATAGAACTCACACTTGGTTGCATCTATAAAGTGCGCAACACCACACTTTGAGACAACGGCGAGTTCTGGTGATACGCTTTCCCTGGATGGGACAGGCGATGCTGGGCACCAGTCAATTGCGACTCAAGGGACAGCCAAGCTGCCCGGGCCTACATGATCTCGTTCAGCATACTTCACTGCCACAGGTTCCTCACACTCGTCCACTTGCAACGTGCCCAAAGGCTGGTCCTTAGGCTTCGCACTAGGGCGATGTGGAATGCTTGCTCCAAGACACGACGGCATGAGACTGGAGATTTTCTTCAGCCGTGCATGATGGCCTCTGGTCTACATGCCGTCCTGAGACAGCAGCCAGGGACAACTCCAGCCGGCTGCACTTGTACAGCTCCACCTGCCACTGCACGGGGACTGTCAAATTAATATATCTCTCTCTTTCAAACACGACGTCTGGGTCCACAATACAGACTCTCAGCATAATGGCCAGTCCGTCCAGCAAAATAAACGGCTGAGCTCTGTACTGTTGACGTAAGGACAGAAGAGCGGACATGGATGCTGACATCTCCTTTGTCAATATGCAAGGGCAATCTACGGTCAGCTGGAAGAAAATTCTTGCAGGGCACCAACCACTCCGCGCGAACTCTGTACAATCAAGACATATGCACAGAAAGTGAAGTGCAAACTTAGTCGGGAACTGCATTTGTCCACCATCAGCTTCAGCAACTTGGTAAAAGAAAAAGCCGATCGCGAGCAAGTCGAACTAGCGCCATAAGAACGAAATTTGAAACTAAAATAACAGGCAATCAAGGCGGCACTCGAACCAGCTGTATCAATAAGTTGCGGACTCCAACGTCTTCAGGCACCACATACGAAACACCTCGGCACGGCTTCTGCAAATGCACGTGTCTTTGTCTCGTGGGATGCCACTGCACAAACTGTCTCGCAGTCTGTTGGTTGCTGAATGTAAATACACACTCCGCCACTTTGCAATTGGACTCCAACCAGTGCTGTTCTTGATGCGAACTGCCTGCAGCTCTTCTCAACGGTGCACCCTTCCAATGTGCAAGTCAGCAAGCGGGCAATGCCAATCTTGCCAACTCAAACGTGGAAAATGAGTCAGAGGCTTTTCCTTTGTAGTCTGCAGCTGACAATTGTACCTGCATCAGCCGTCGAGAGATCCGAGAAGGAGATTCGCATGTTCTCAACTGCTGCATACATCTCAAGATGAAGTACGGCCTCTGACCATGCACTGTCGAAGCGCAGAATTCAAAAACACCAGAGGAACACAATGCAACTTGAACATTGAAAGTGCCGCGCGCCTCGCCCGACACATGCGTATGTGATATTGACACCTCACGCTTCTGGCTCCAAGCCTTCAGATTTCTGGATCCAGCGGACGAACACAAGGAATGATGCCATGATTCAGCGACGCTGTTCTGAGGCCGGGTCGATGAAATCGTCTCTCTGTTTGGAATGGCCATTCAGCTCGCGCAGCTCTTTTTCGGCCTGCTACAGCGTCACACAATCATTCCATCATTCTGGGCAGCTTACCACAAGCCTTTTCCGTGGGCGGACCTTTCGGACCATTTCCAAGTCCAAGAGCCTGGTCAACAAACAGCAGCTGCACAGTCCGAACAGGCTTGAAACACGGGCATGACGACTGCTCAACGCTACAAGTCATCATGCATGGCCTCATTGTTGGCTTCTTCGTCTCGTTTATCCTTCACAGACAAGTCTTTCACCAAGCTCATGTGCGCAAACAAAAAGATTTGATCCGTGCGACGTCTCTCCATGATGCGCTGTCCACTCGAATACAACGGAGATTGCGAAATTGATTCGGTGCAGGACCTGCTCGTCCACTTCGCTGCAAAGTTCATCTGCCTGTCAATGTCCGCAAGCACTGTTGGGACCGCAATCCCACGGGTGACCTTGGAGTCCCACGCGTGATAATTCGTCATGGCTTGCGGAATGGTGAAAAGCCAGTACTGAAATTAAAACTCAGGCCAACATGGTTTGCAATGAATCCAGTGCGTGAAGGCAAAAAATTGCTCATCCGTTCCTGCAATGTCCTGCCGCACAGTCCAGGACGCGAAATAGCGGCCGGTACACAACAGTGTGAATGTTGGCGTTGCATTGCAACACGAAGGCACAGGACAGGTTGTGGTTCCAACTTCCAACACACCCACTTGTGTGCAAATCGTCACGGTTCATGCCGACTGCGCACCAACGCTCTTAAAGCATGATCAAAATAATTAGACCCATTTTCTGCCACGATCTTCCGAGTACCGTCCTTGCAATGTTTCCGTACGCATCTCCTAACAGCTCCGCATGCGTCTTTGTGCACCAAAAGCTTCAAACGCCCAGTGTCAGACCTTTCTGCAAACTGGATAGTTTCTTTCCGTTTGGCTGACATTGCTATGCATGATTCCCATCAAGTTTAAGACATTCAGTTTGCAGCACTTTTTGTTGTGTTGCAGCCGTGCAACCAAAATTAAGACTGCGAAACACTTTGCATTTCAAAAAAAACGTGAAGAAAGGAGTTTTTTTTTTCTTTCCGTCGCAGAAGCTTCCTTTCGCGGCAACTGCCAAAGCAAAAAATTGAAAGAGCTTGTAAGCACAATCGCTTTATGAGGAAGTTTTGCAAGGAAAATACAAGAGACAAGAAGATAAAAGAAGAAATGCAAGCACCAATGCCAAAAGAAAAGAAAGCCACACGAAACTTTGATCAGCGCAGTTACCGAATAAAAGAGATGTATGGCTGCCCTACCTTTTTTCTCTTTCAGACTCGACGCTGCACAAGTGCAAATTTGTCGATTTCCTCAGAAGCAGCGAAAAATGAAAGGAAAACTCTTAACTCTTTCAAGCTCCACTTCAAGGGTCTTCGAAGGAGACTTCAAGCGACTCTCTGAAGAAAGACTTGAAGGGAAGCCTACATCTTGTCTCGAGCTTGCAATCCTGAAGTTTTCTGTTCTTTTTGGTGGTTGGTGTTTGCTTTGTTTCTTACCTTCTTCTTTGTCTTTTCCGCTCTCCAAGCGACTGCAAAAAGAGCGCCAAAAATTTCGAGAAGGCAGGCCTTGCAGGCAATTGCGTGTGCCTCTCGCTCTCCTCTTAAGAATCCTCTTTAAAGTTCTTCCTGTAACCTCCCCTCCATTTCCCGATTTTGTGAGACAAGAAGGCAAGAGAGAGAGTTAAAGGGTTAGCCTTTTTTTCGCTCGAAAGCATGGGATCTACAGAAAAATCGAATTTTTCCGTATGTTTTTATGCTTGTTGTTGAATATTTGGTGGCAAAACCAAAGACCTTTCCAAACAAAGTAATGTCCATGCAAGACAATCCTGAAAGAAGTATGCAACTGGAAGGAGCCAGACGTGTTGGAGTGTGCAAAACCAACAGGTTCGAGTGCTTGAGAAGAAACTTCGAGAAGCAAATGCCAGCTAAATCGTAACGCGCTAAAATATATACGAATGCGCGCTACGCTTCTCGAAAATGCTAGATTTCGTCACACAAGCGTAGAACTGTGGAACAGTAGAATTTCCGCGCAAGATGCTGCCAGAGCAGAGCTGGACCTGTGAAAAAGTTTGATGGAAGATGCAGCGCTAACGAATGCTACAGTGCGCTGTCACAGCGGGATTTCACCCAAACAGCCTAGAAGACCGTTCTTTGAGCTCCGAGTGAAAAACTTGACGTGTTTCTGTGTGTCCTCACCTCTAAAAATAAGGCCAAAAGACCTTTCTGGTGGACTCCAAACCTCACAAACTGGAAGTGATACGTACTTTTTTGTATGCAAGAGACCGTGTATGCGGAAGTAAAAGCATCAGACGTGTTTCTGTGCGTTTTTTTTTTTTCGAACTAATACCAAGAGACCCTTAATGTGGGCTTTGAGGCTTAGAAGCCGGAAGTGAAAGCATCGGACGTGTTTCTGTGCGGTCTTCACCCGAAGTGCAGCAAAGTGATACCAAGAGACCTTTGTTTTCAC